GAGAGAGAGAAAAATTGAGAAAGCACTCTCTGAGGAAATGGTCACCATGCACCTGTTCATTTCAAGTGATTAAATGATACTTGGACATTTATAGCCAGTTCTGTAAAAACTGACCATTTGGGAACCCTAGGGTTCAATCCCCAGTCCATCCTAAAATCTGGGTGCAGTGGCATGTGCTTGTAATCCCAGTGATTTAGGGAGACTCAGTCAGGAGGATTATAATCGTGAGGCTGGCCTGGGCAATGTGAGGAGACTGTCTAAAAGCAGAGCAGAGGGACTGGCAAGTGGCGTGGTGGTTAAGGCGCTGGACACCCCCACATGGCCAATCATGGTTCGAGTCCCGGACCTGGTGGCTTGCTTTCTCACTTTCCTCTCTCTCTCTTTCTGTGTCTCTCTGGTCAAATTAAAATTGAATGAATGAATGAAATTGAATAATAAAAAAAAAAACAGAGCAGAGAATGGTGGTGTGTGCCTGTAGTCCCAGATGGTAGGCTGAGGAGGATTCTGGCATGATGAGACTCCATCTTTATTTATTTATTTTTACTTTCTTTAAAGGCTTTTGCCATAGTGTGCATTTGATCACTGAAGAGAAACAGAGAGAGACAGAGAGAGGGAAAGTGAGAAATCATTCCCCAGAGGGGATGGCCACGCTGCAATCCCTTCTTCTTCGTTCTCCTTTCAGGATTTTGGGCACATACATACATGTACTCGGTGTGGTTTTCAAGCTGCCAGGTCCAGGACTCGAACCTTGGTTGGCTATATAGGAGTTCAGCCCCTTAACTACTATGCCACTGCTGGCCTTAAGACCTCATCCTAAAGAAAAATTAAATATATGGTGTGGTCCAGATGGTGATTAGAAGTGATAATATCTGATTTACATCACATTGTACTTTTTGGTATTCGTGATACTTTTACATTTATTCACGACAATCCTCTTACATAGATATTATAACCCCTATTTTAGAGATTAAGAAAGGCTTTGAGGTATTTAGCACTACAAGCAAATTTGCACAGGTGGTAATTTTAAGATTAAGTTATAAAGTTCTATTTCCATAGACTGCATGTTTAAAAGTCATACAGAGACACATGAGAGATGATAAAGGGATTAGAAAAATATCCAAGGGCCATTCTGGCCCCATCTCCTAGTGATTAAAGGAGCTGGATCCCATATGGCTGATGGCAGTTCGAGTCCCAACCTCCCAGCCCTGGAGACTTAAACACACTGGGGACATAAACATGAGTGCCCTAAATCTCAAAAGGATGGGGAAATAGAGGAGAAGATTGCAGTGTGAGCACACGTCATTGGGGAGGTGCTTTCTCCTCCTTTCTCCCTCTGCTTCTGTCTTTCTCTGGTGAGTGCACATGACCTCTGGCAACTGAAAAAAAAAAGAAAAAGAAATCCCTCTTTATCTTAGTTGTCAACATGCCATCCTGTCCCGGGCCTGCCGGACAGTTGAACAGGTTTCCTGAGGGAAGGAGTGAGAGACGGGATGAACGGCGCTCTGTCACAGCACGGAGATGACGCAGTGTTACAACTCTTCAGGGTCATCCAGAGACGACGCGGTGTCACAGCTCACGGTAGTTCGGGGACGATGCGGTGTCACAGCTCAGGGCTGTCTGGAGACAACGCGGTGTCACAACTCTTCAGGGTCTTCAGGGTCCTCTGGTGATTATGGGCCAGGGATCGTGGTTATATACATGTTGGTGGGCCGTGATTAGTTGAATGAAGGATAGTAAAAGGTGGGTTATGATTGGTTGCTTTGTGGACCAATCATGAGGTGCCAGATATGCAAATCTGAGGGATTCTAAGCTCACTGATTTGCTATAGGAAGTGGCCAATCAGAGTATGGTTTTGAAGGTGAGGTTTTTGAAGGGGAGCCAATTGTAGCCTTTGTAATTGTTTGCTCTCTGAGCCTAAGATGGCAATAGTAAGAGACTCATGAAAATGGCCTCTCAGACTTGCTGATGTGCAGTTTTCCACACCATCCAGACTGAGGAAGACTCAGAAACTTCTAGTCCATGTGAGCCATGGCCACAGACTAATTGGGAAGCTCCAGAAGCATTCCGGAGGACAGGGTGTTGCGGATGGCATGCATCTTCACATGATCAGCTTGGACAAATATCACCCAAGTTACTTCAGGGAAGTTGGTATGGGGCATTACCACTTAAAGAGGAAGCAGAGCTTTTGCCCAGCTGTCAACCTTGATAAATTGTGGACCTTGGTCAGTGAGCAGGCTTTTTTTTTTTTTTTTTTTTTTTTAAACCCTCAGTGGCTCAGCAATAGTGCACCGTTGCAATGCAAGAAGCCACGTGGAAGACCGAGGTTTGGTTTCCTGGTTGACTTGTACATGCCAGGCAAGCACACGTGTGCCTGTGCTCCTGGCTGGCTGGGAAAAGGGGGAGGGGAGTGGGAAGGCTAACTAGTCAGTGTTGTTAAGATTTCAAATTAGAAAGCTTGGGCTCAAATCTTGGTTCTGCCATTTATCAGCCCCTTGACCTTGGTCCAGTCTCTAACAGTCTTATCTTTTGTGAAGTGGCGAGAAAATTATTTCGTGATAAAATGAGGTAATACCTCAGGGCCAGCAGTTAGTATAATGGCTATGTCATTGAACTCCCATGTAGTTGACTGCGGTTCAAGTCCCGGACTGGTGGCTTAATCTCATGCTGGGCATGTGTGCATGCGTGCCTAAGATCCCGAGAGGAGAATGAAGGAGAAGGGATTGTGGCGTGGCCATCCCCCCCCCGGGGGGGGTGATTTCTCACTTTCTATCTCTCTATCTTTGTCTTTTTGGCGAGCGCACGTGCCCTATAGCAAAAACCTCTAAAAAAAAATTAAAAATTAAAAAAATAAGAGATAATACCTGAAAAGTGCTGAGTGTATGGAAAGCACACAATGAATTGGAACAATGATTACGAACTAAGAGACTCCCTGAAATGCAAGAAATCTTTGCTGTCAGGATAAAGGCTGTTTTGGTACTAACCTGATATTTTTCTGAGTCTCCACATTCAAGAACTGGGAATTCTGGATATTCATACCTTTTTTTAGATACAGCAAATATTAATTCACTGACAATGTGGAGAATCCAGTTGGAACCTTTAAGAAACATCAGAAAATAAAAGCTCATTAAGGTGCCTTAATATAGCACAGACATATTATTTTAGTATAAATACTAAATAGTATAAATAATGATAAAAATTAAAATCTATAACCTCTTGTTTATGTGTACATTTAGCTGTCCTGTCTTTGGAAGAAACTTGGCAATGAAACAGTCTTGTGTAAAACTTATATTTACTTATATTGGTAAAAAGAATTAAACTTACCTTATTTTTCAGGTGTCTCCTTTAACAAGAGATGATTTTTTTTGAAAATTGAGAATATATCCTTATAGAACAATGTTATGCTATAAAATCATTATTGTATAACATACAGTATTTTACCTAAAGTTAATAAATATTTTCTACAGGAGTATATAATTTTGATTTTAGAGAAACTCAACATCAGTTATGAAAAACAAAATTATTAGGTGAGTCTGGCTTTTAATAAAAAGAGGGGCCAGCAGGTGGCATGGTGGTTGGGGCACTGGACTCTCATATGGTCGACTGTGGCTCGAGTCCTGGACCTGGCAGCTTGTTTTCTTTTTCTTTCTTTCTCTCTCTCTCTCTTCCTGTCTCTCCTGTCTCTCTCTGGTCAAATTTAAAAAATAATAGTAATAAATACAATTAAATAATTACTTTTTAAAATAAGAAAAAAATGTAGAAATGAAATAGCAGTTGAAAGAATCATAAGTGGATGGTGTAAAATAGGATAATTTCAAGTCTTAATATCTTTTTTATAAAGAATTTTTTAAAAATTATTTTATTTAACTTTATATATTTATTTATCTATTTTAATTTGACCAGAGAGGGAGAGAGAGAGAGAGAGAGAGAGAGAGAGAGAGAGAAAGTGAGAAAGCAAACCACCAGGTCTGGGACTTGAACTGCAGTTGGCCATGTGGGAGTCCAGTGCCTTTAACCACCACACCATCTGTCAGCCCCTTAATTCTTATTATTTTAACCTTCAGTGATAAAAGACCTTGTAAAAATGACCTTGAGAACCTGGAAGACTGAAGGACAATCTACTCTATGGAAATTGTCATATACATTATAAATGCAGCTTGTCTTCAGTCAACAATCAAACTAGAAAGCGCTACTATTACCTGTGCTTGCTGACAACTGGACTTCCCCGCAATCCTATTTTTCCTTTCACCTTCCCCAATTCTTCTTCCACCTTCATCTGTCATGCCCTTTTCATATCAACCTCTTCCTTCTGACCCTGGGGTTTTAAAATCTAGCAGTTCTAGTTATGGATTTTACAACCTGAACTAGCGCATTACTCCCTACTCCTGCAATGATTTCTAGCTAGCTTCATGCAAAGATGAACGGCCTTCATCCCCCCTTTGTCATGTACCCTCCCCAACCTACACACTCTGAAAAGTGCACATGTAGGAAATGGTTTGTTATTTACCACACTTTGGATAAGATGCGAGCACAATGTCATCGCTTCTGGCTTCAAAGGTGTCCAGGGCTTTGAAAGTCTCCGAGGTACACATGGTGACAGGGTAAGGTATCCCCTGATGAGTGAAAAGCAAGTGAGAAAGTTCTGTTTCTTTAGATTTTTCTAAAGCTTCATCAATGTACTCAATAAATCTGGAGTTGTCCGCCATAGTCTTCCTGAGAACGAACCTGTGCTGTGGTTGTCCAGGGAAATTGATTGCTTTTAATGGAGTTTTCTAGGGGGTGCGACAAAGGACTCCTCCCATTCGCATGAAAACAATCATTCGAACCTCATCTGCTCCTCCCTTCTTTATGGATAGCTTCTCTGAGGAAAGGTAAAACCACAGGTGCAGAACAGGCTGGGGATCGGGGCTTTACTGCAAGAGTGATCATATGACCATTTGGGCAAGCCATCCAATGAAGGTCAGAATGGAATCTCCGCAGAGAAGGTGGTAGATATTAAATATCTAACAAACAGGGATTTAATGGAATCAGGCATACGGTTTTCCGGTTCACACTGCACAGAATGAGAACTTGGTTCTCTCCTTGGTTGACAGCTTTCCACACACATCCCATGTGGTGTGACAAAGAAGCAATGGATTAGGTCATCTGGTAGAAAATATGCCATGTGGGGATAACCCTGGCACCAGGTTCCAAACTGTCAGTTATTGACTCAATAGATTTACGAGAGACTCCTGTTTGAATTCTGGATCTACCACTTTCCATTGTGTTATTGTGAGCCAATGATAGGGCACTTGCCGTGCAGTATATGTGGATGGGATAGTGACAGCTGCTCTCCGTTTACATACAACTGCGTGGTTCACAGAACAGAGCAACTTTGCACAGGGCAAGCAGGATGCAGTGACATCTCCAGTCCCCTCAGTTCAGCTCTCTGCTGCTCCAGGTCTCTAGATGAGATGTTCCCTCTCTGCTGCAGGGTCTTTCCCCAGAAGCCACTGTCCTATTTCCCCTTTGGCTAACTGGACTACAATTCTTGCCTTCCCTGCAGCTGGGTGTGGCTTTGCAGCTAGTAGGAAGTGAGTGGAAGTGAGGTGTGCAACTGCTGGGTCGTGTCCTTAAAACAGGAAGTTGATGGCCCTCTAATCCTCTCTTTCTCTCTCAAATTTTTATTTACCAGAGGGTGCTTGCGCTGGCTAGAGAGACAGAGAGAGGAAGAGAGAGAAAGCATTTTCCAATAGGGTGTGGTCACACCCCAATCCCTTCTCTATTTCTCCATCCAGCTTGGATTTAGGGCTTGCACACACATGTGCTTCATGTGTTTGTCAGGCCACCAAGGCTAGGATCCGAACCATGGGGTCGGTCATGAGGGATCTGGCTACCTTAACCACTATGCCATTGGATTGGCCAGACTCTTAATACTCCATCTCCTTTCCCATACCTGGAGGCTGGAAGCCAGACTGCTAATTTGGAGATAAATAGTACTTTAGAGGGTGGTAGATTGGCAAGACAGAGGAAACCTGGCTCCTTAGACAACCTTGGGAGACATCTTCCCAGACCCCCTCTCAGTATGGTTGTCCATCTGTTTGAGCCGCTGGCTCATTGGGGTCTTTTTGTTAGATCAATGGAGCCTGTATCCCACTTGGTAACTTTCCTGTGTCAGAATTTACTCTTTGGCCTCTTGTCAACTTTCCATAAATGTATATAGTACTCAACTTTTCTTATTTCTGTCTTCTACACATCATTCTCCTACTTCTTCCATCTTTCTAACCCTAAAAACATAGGTTTTTACTATATGTACCTTTCTCCAAACCAGTGCAAACCAGTTAAGAAGTTAATTCCTAGTTGTGCTTACCCAGCTGTACAGTAATTCACATATCAGTTACAATAAAAGCTGACATTACCTGGCATTTGCATGTTCCACACTCACTGCCAGACTGCTGAGGTTACGTGGATGATTTAGTGTAACTTCATGGCAGCCCTATGAAACTGGTGTCAGTTTGTTATCATTTTACAGGAAGCTGAGTTGAGGCTTACAGGGCACAAGTAACTTCTTGAGGTTGTGGAGTCAGCCCTGGGAGGAGCTGGGATCAGAATGTAGGCAGTACAGCTCAGTCAGGGCAAAGAGATAAATGAGATCTTAGAGGTTATATGTCGAGTCATTATAAACAGTGCATTCTTTGGTGCTCCTCTTTTTTTATTTAAAAACATTTTTTTAGGGCACAAGTACTCGTTGGAGAGACAGACGGAAAGTGAGAAATCATCTCCCAGGAGAATGGCCACACCACAATCCCTTCTCCTCCATTCTCCTCATGGGATTTTGGGCATGCACGCACACATGGGTGCCCAGCATGAGTTTTAAGTTGCCGGGTTCAGGACTCAAACCGCCATTGACTATGTGGGGGTCTAGCAATGCAACCATTACGCCATCTGCTGGTCCCTCTTTGGAGCTCCTTTATCTGCTATAAGAAACAAGGTCATAGGATTTTTTTCACTGCTGGGAAAAAACAAACAAACAGAAAAAAAAAAAACCATTATGAAGAGAGAAATTTTTATGATCACAAGGAAAATAAATTTCTGGGCTCAGGAACATTTTATTTAGTAACATTTTGGGACAAACTATATTAAATGTATACAACGATTGTAAGATGCATTCCAATCTCAGCGATGTAAACATATGGAAACATGAAATTCTTAGAATTGAGCAATTTTTTTTCTCTATCTTGCTAGAAGGTGTGTGCACTTCCCAGAGATAGAGAGGGCAAGTGAGAAAGCGCCTCCTACGGGGGCTGGCCATGCTGCAATCCTTTCTCCTCCGTTTCTCCTCTGGGGATTTTGGTAGCATCCCCACGTGCCTAGCATATTTTTCAAGCTGCTCTTCTGGGACTTGAACCTTGTAGTCGGCCGTGTGGGATCCAACCACTTTGATCACCATGCCAGTGACTGGCCTGAATTGAACAAATGTTAAATGTCAGCAGAAAGTATTGGATTGTTAGGGACCAGCAGGTGGCATGTTGGTTAAAGTTGGACACTCCCACATAGCTGACCATGGTTGGAGTCCCAGACCTGGTGACTTGCTTTTTCACTTTCCCTCTCTCTCTCTCTTTCTGTGTGTGTCACTCTCTGGTCAAATGAAAATAAATGAATGAATACATAAAATAAAATAAAATAATTCTTTAAAGAAAAAGAAGTATTGGATTGTTGAAAAAGTCATGACACATTTTTGCATAGTCATGACTTTTCTGACAACCTAATATTTTACTGAGGCAAGGGGTGGATGTGAAAGAGAAGCTTTTAATCTCTATTTCACAGAGGGCAAAGAACTGACCAGAGAGGGTTGCTAGCTAGGAACAGCTACAGTTGTATTTGTTAAAAATAAACAAACAAACAAAAAACCAGTTTGTGAGACGATAAAACTAGGAATATCTGAGTATTTTACTACTTTCATACACATCTTCCATTTGAAGGTCTTGTTGCCTTACATAATAATGGGATGATATTCACTGCAGTTGGGAAGGTGTATTTACGAATCTCTAGGGCTGGCAGGTGTGTGGTGGTTAAGGCACTGACTGACTGGTTCAAGAAACGGACCTGGCAGCATGGCTTCTCTCTCTCTCCCTCTCTCTGGTCAAATTGAATAATAATGATAATAAATAAAATAAATTAAATTAAATAATTCTTTTTTAAAAAACTCTCCCCCAAAAGAAAAGAAGATGAAGACTGGACTCCTTGCCAATCTGCTTAGAGAGATTATCTCTACTATTCTGACGAATCTTTGTTTTCCTTGGGTAAGATAGAATTTAAGACATTAATTCAAACATGGTTGTTTGCTTCTTGGTGAGTAAAACATTTAACAAGACAAAGGGCCGGATCCTGTTCTGATACTAATGCCTGTAATTATAAGAGGATTTGGGGGGATTTTCTGGGATCAGTAACGTGAACCCTGATTCTTGTTATGCCACCGGGGGTTAGGTCAATCTGTCAACCTTACAATACTGCTTACCTGTCTGACTTGCACGAGGGAGGGAAATAGCACGAATCAATGTAAAATAACCTATATTCGATGATGTATTTTCACTGTCATGCAGGGGGTTTTCATGTTATGTGGAATCCCAGCTTCCCAATTAGATCTTTGTGTCCTACCCAGGTTGGAGAAAAATGGCCACAGACCCCCCCGGAGGTCACTGGCAGGGCCTGGCTCATGCCCCCGGCAGCTGCACGGGAAGCTTATTTAAAGTTCCTTTTCTTGGTATTAAATAAATAATTCCCTCCTCTTTTATTTTATTTTTTAGGGTACAGATTTGTACCAAACAAATGAGAAAACAGATTTTAAAAAAATGACCAAGGGTGGCTTCAGCAGATGGCATAATGGTTACATCACTGGACTCCCACATGGTCGACCTTGGTTTGAGTCTCAGACCGGCGGCCTGTCACCCACACCTGGTGCATGTGCAGGTCGACCTTGGTTTGAGTCTCAGACCGGCGGCTTGAAACCCACACCTGGTGCATGTGCAGGCATACCCAAAATCCCAAGAGAAGAATGGAGGAGAAGGGGTTGTCATGTGGACATCCCCCGGGGGAGTGAGGGAAGAGGGGATGGTTTCTTGCTTTCTGTCTCTCCGTGAATGAAAGCGCCCTATAGCAAATATCTCTCTTACAAAAAAAAACAAAACCCAGGCGATTAAAATCAAATTGGATTGGTGAAGCAGGAGTCAAATAGCATAGGGCTCATGTGAGTTGGTAGGCCCAAGGCTGGTGTTTAACCCCTCCTGGCTATTTATCCATTATTTTCTTTGTAGCCAGGCTCCTGCCGAATGAAATTGTGCTTTTTTTTCTCTTCTTTAAAAACAGATATGGTACTTCCGAGAGTAGTTCAGAATTGAAACTTACCTTGGAATCCCATATAAGGAGAGGGGTGTAACCTCTTTGCATTATGGGAATTTACTAAAAACAGGTCCATGATTCAGAAGTCACACAACGGGAAGGCAGGGCTGAGGTGGGTAAGGACAGAATGATCCTTAGGATAATAAACTGAAAGACGCAGCAGGCTTCTTCTCTGAGACCTTCAGAGATAATGCTGTTCCTCTCCCCCAGGTAGAGGGAGGGCACCATGTGAAGGAGGGTCTTAAAACCTGCTTCGGGGAAATGTCAGAAAATCCTTTCTAGAGTTTGTGATTTGCTTCAAGGGAGACTTGGAAGGAGGCGGAAGTGACTTTCCTGCTTCTACTGTTTTCTCATTTGCCAGTTGCCACCTTTGGGGATAGCATATCCTGAACCCATCACCCCCTAGACTGAGGGTGATGGAAAACTTAACCATTCAACACCTGGGAGCTGGCAGAATCGGGGTTCTGGTTACTGCCCACACCCCCGGTTCAGGGACAATGCCCACAGCCCTCTGCTTCTCTGTGTCCCATCGTCTTCTGCAGGAAAGGTTAAGCCATTATTAAGATCCTGGGTCTCTCCGGTTGAGTAAGATGCCCGTTGGCATCTAACAGCAATGGCTCAGTGTAAAAATCTGCCACCCGAGTCTTTCTCACTTGCCCTCCACCCAGTTCTTTGACTAGATCAGTTCATCCCACCAGTATCTAAACTTTTCCGATCCTGATCCTTGTGGCCCAGTGGTCCTTACCTGAAACCATGTTTGTGAACTATTGGGTTGTTCGAAAAGTCATGATGCATTTTGCATAGAAAAGCAGAAAAACACATGCCTTTTCTGACAACCCAGTATCTAGTAGGGTCCAGGATGTGTAAGAAATGTATAAAATGTTGGGCCAGCTGGTGTCAGGGTAGTTAAAGCAGCTGAATCTCACATGGCCAACTGTGTGGTTCAAGTCCTGGACCAGGCGGTGTGCAAAAACACCCTGGGTACATGTATAGTATAAGCATGCCCAAAATCTGAAAAAGAAGAAATGGAGGAGGGATTGCAGCATAACCATCCCCCATGGGGGGTGCCTTTTCGCTCCCCCCCCATGAGTGTATGTCCTCTGCCAGAAAAAGAAAAGGCATGAAAATGTTGTTTTGTGTGATACTGAGAAAGTCCCACTCCAATGAACCCTTAACTAGTTTATATATACTTTCAGAAGAAATGATTACATTTCTTTTTCTTTTTAATTTTCCAGAAGGCACATACAGTAGCCAGAGAAACAGAAAGTGAGAAAGCACTTCCCCACACATCCCATGGGGCGTGGTAACACACAATTCTTTCTCCTCCAGTTCTCCCCCTCCTTTTAGAAATTTGGGCTTGCACACACATGTACCAAACATGTTTTTGAAGTCACTGGTTCAGGACTCAAACTATACAGTCAGCCATGTGGGCTCCAGCTGCGTTAGCCATAACTTGAATAAAGGTAGATCTGTGTCTAACTGTTTAGTATTCCAGGCTCCTTGCACATGGCATCTCAACAGGCCTTCCCACTGCATTCTCTTCTCCCTCTCCTTCCCTTCTTAACTCATCCACCAACTGTCTAGGGATCTGCCCAAAATGCAAATTTTGGTTCAGTAAGCATGCATTTCTAACAAGTTCACAGGTGATATTGAAGTTGCTGATCCTTTGAGACTATCATACTTAGGGTTTAGGGTGTAGGAAAATGATCAGTGTGCAGGGCTTAAATCTGACTTCTGCCCCTTACTAGCTATTCTGATTGTGAGCAGCCTAAGCCTCTCTCCTTCTCTGTAACTGAGGTACTCCCAGCACTGATTACCTAGGCTGTATTGAGGGTAAATAAAATGACCAGTTGCCGGACCAGCAGGTGGTGCAATGGTTACGTCTCTGGACCCCCCGGTTGTCCTCCCCGCTTGGAGTTCTGGACTCTGGAGCTTAAACTCAGGCAGAGCACGTCTGCGTGGGTGCCCGAGAGGAGAATGGAGGCGGGACTACGGCGTGATCATCTCCCCCGGGGATGATTCCTCTTTCTTTCTCTGTGGCTAGCGCATGCGCCGTATAACAAAGATCCCTAAAAAAAAAAAAAAAAAAAAAAACAAAATGTGGGGGGGCCCACGCG